GCCGATACTCACTAGAGCAGATTAGGGACATGGCTCCGTCGCTGTGCTCCGAGGCGCCACACACCGGGCTCCCGGATTAGCTTCGGAGCTGCCGCGGGCCAGTTCTTGTTCCCCGCTGCTTCCGGGACGCTCCGCGGCGAGCGGGGAGAAGCCCCGCCGAGCGAAGATCGCGTAGCCCTTCACGTGGGACTGCGGCGGATCGCGCGCCTCAGACTCCTGCACCCAACGGAAACTGCCCTTTCCCAGAATGCAGCCGGGCAGGAAAGGGCCCGCCAGAGAACACTCGGCTATTTCCGGACCAACGCGGCTCCTTCCGTAAAATGCTCCCCTCCGCCGGAGAAGAAGAGATCCGGAACTACATTTCCCATGATGCAGTGGGAATGGAAAACTAAAGCCTTTCAGCAACATTTTTGAGATCTATGTGCGCTGGGCCATGGGACCATAGTCTTTGCAAACTCTGGTGTACCCGAGAATTTCCTGACGAACTTGCTAAAATGCATATTCCTGAGGTCAGCCTTAGCAAGCCTGTATTTTCGGTGCGTGCCCCACGTGATTCCGAGGTGTTTCTTTGACTACCCTTTGAGACACACTGCTAGGTGACCCGGTGAAGAAAGCACAGACACAGATGGATTGAGAGACTAACACTAGCCAAGAAACCGTTCGGGTCCTGCCTCTACTACCAGTTTGCTCTGCAATCTTGGGCAAGTCTTGAACTTCTCTGCCTCTTTCCTACATGACGTTTCGGTCCCTTCCAACTCAGATCGTGTAGAATTCTTTGTGGATAACTATAAAATAAAGTACTCCCAGAAGTCCTGTACCGAACACGTGGTGTGGGCTGTAAGGGATCCAGACCAGCAACAGGACAGACAGGTGTGTTCAGTTAAGTCTTCTTCCCTGAAGAGTTGTGATTCTGACTTTGACATGGAGCCAAATGCAGATAGAAGAGAACAGAGGGCATCCCAAGAGGAGGAGCAGCACAAGCAAAGGCTTGAAGAGGAGAATAAAAGTTGCAGATCCTCCCGCTCGGCTCTCCGGCCTCCTGCGCCCCGCGATCTGCCGCAGCCGATACTCACTAGAGCAGATTAGGGACATGGCGTAACTCTGCAGGTATGGCCGAGTTGCCGAGCGCCTGGACTCGGAAGTCAGATTGTGTGCGCTCTAATCCAAACTCCACCCCGCTAGTAAACTGTGGAAACTCCTCTGCCCAATTCCCTCATCTGTGAAAGAGGGCAGTGATAATAAAGGTTGAACTAACTCATAGGGTTGAGGTGAGGACTTAATATTTAAAAAGTGCTTCCAACTAAACTTGACACATAGTTAAGTACAATGTAAATATTCGTATTTGTCCTCATTATCCTGAAGGCCAAGCAAGACTGTCCAGACGAATATCAACTCTCCCCTGCACCAGCAAAATAGCATTCTAATTGGTCTTGCATCCTAATTGGGTCCACTTCCCAACGAACAGCCAATCATCTACTTTCAATGAAAAATCAATTTCATTACTCCCCAGGCTTTCATTCATTCAAATATTGATTAGGCGCCTCCCTTGTGATAACTGGAGGTACAAATGGTGAACAAGAAAGGCAAGGTTTCTGCTTTGTTGGAGCTTACATTCCAGGGTCGCGGGGCAGGGGAACACATAGACGCCTAGACAATCAACACATGAGAAAATCCCAGGGTGGTAAATCCTAAGAATAAAGCAAATCAGAATAAAGGGGATGGGAGGTGCTGTAGATTGGAGGGATGGGCTACTTTAAGCAGGGAGGGCATCTCTGAGGAGGTGACATTTTTTGTTGAGACCTGAACGAGGGTGTTTCTGGCAGTGGAAGCTCTTCCCCTAAGTACTGCACCGTTTAGTCCACACTGATCTCCACAGTGTCACCTCATCTCTCTCCAGCCACACTGGCCTTTCAAGTTCTCAAACTTACCTGCCCACTCTGGCTGGTTCCAGTACTTTTGCCTGGAACATTTTCCTCAACCCCCTCCTTCCCTTCTCCTCTCATACCTTCCAAAGCAAACTTCAATCTCACCTTAAATGGGGCCTTCTTCTGGGGCCTTTTCCTTGACCCCTAACTGAAGTTTAGTCCCCACCACATCCTGTAATTCTCCTCTGAGCCATTCTGGGTAACTATGACCATTGAACTGTTAACAAGTATCTGTTTGATGTCTGGGCTTTCCGCTAGAATGTGAACTGCAATGGCAAGAACCCCCAATGTGAACTCCTGGTCACCGTTGTTTCTCAGTCTGACACAATGCCTGACACAGCAGGAGCTTCCTAACTTGTTGGATGAATGACAGGCTGCATGATGGGCCAGGTATCTATCTCAAGTGCCTGAATGTGGCAGAAACTAAAATGGATCCATTTGGTTTGGGCCTTGAACTAGAGGTGGTTAGGCTTTTTGGGGGGTCAACAGCAGAACAGCAGTTGAGCTAGGGAGTAATAACCACACTTCCAGAAGATTCCTCTGGAAGATACCAACTGGGTGGGTTGGAGAGGGACAGAGTAATGGGAGAGAGACCTAGTAACTCATTTAGTGAGCAAATCTTTATTGAAGACCCACTGTGTGCCAGTCAGGCACTGTACCAAGCAGTGGAGATACCACTGTGAGTGAAACCAGAGGTATCCCTCTGCTGAGGAGTTTATGGCTGTGACAGAAGAATGGAGGAAAAGGGGGGTCCTTTCAAGGCTTTTGAGTTTGAAAGGCCAGCCCCCGTGGGCACAGAAAGGATTCAGGGCATTTGACTTTGCAGGAAATATTACAGGTAAGAACTTGATCTCAGAGTCCTCCCTACTCCCCCCAGTCTCACCCTCTCCACAGAGGGGGTACAGCATACCTAGGCTGGGAAGGGAGACACGGTAGGAAGGGGATATGTGGTGTTGGTGGGTCCCTGAGCAAGGAACGCTCTGCTCTCCTCCGTTGGCCAGGAATACAGAAGAAGCTCCATTTCCTGGATAGATTTAGTGGCAAACTGTGTGGACAATTGACTGCAGAAAGAATGAAGATAGGGACTGTATAAAATAGAGTCACTTTAACTGCTAAAATCATTAGCATTAGGAAGGTTGAGGCATGAGGATAGACTCAATTCTTGTTCTAACTAGCCTGGGAACTTAAACTTTTTGAACCTTGCAGCCCTGTGTCAATACTAGGATGCACATCTGGAAATATACAAGAACTCCAGATAATCCTCTGAGTAGGCCTTGAAGGACTCACATATCCAGACCACTGATGTAACCAGACCTCCTGGCACCCATCTTCTGGACCACCTGGCATCCATCATCCAGACTACATTGACATCTGGACCAGTCAGAGGGCTAAGAATGTAGGACTGATAACGCTCAAGAATGCACTTTTTACTGTAAGAACTCTTAACTATTCTTTCTTCTTTGGAATACTTCTGGGGGTTTTGCTTAGCTATGTTCCCAGTTTGCAAACTCTAAGACCCTTTAATCTTCATCATTTATTTCTAGCAGAGCCTCGAGACTCTTTGAGTTCATTCCGCATGACAGAGGATCAGGTTGGATAATGCAGCTCAAACAACTGACACGGAGGATTAGATGAATCCTTCCCCTCTCCCCGCTGTGGCCCTATGTTAATTTTCCAAAAAGTGTGTTCATCATGAACCAAGAGTGGTAAACACCCTGAACTGTCTGAGATCGTTTCTACCACTCCAGTGGAAAAGAGAGTTGAAAAAAAATTAACCAGTCATAAGGGGGGAAAGTTACATTTCTTGCACAGGAAGGTCTGTGGCCTGAGACTCATAGTCCCACAAATCAGAAACAATCTCACAAACAAGGGCAAAGTTGCAAATGTTAGGCTGGAAGGTGGGATCTGGGAGGCTGCCAGAGCCTGTTGGGGAAGAAAGAAACTCTTAGCTGAGGTAGGAAGTGGTGAGGGTCCAGAGAAAGCAGAAGTGCTGACAAACATCTGAAGGAAAGAAACAACTGCGAGAGGTGACAGACTAGCTGTTACTCCTGTGCATAGAATCTGGGAAGAAGACAGAATTAGAAGGCTGATTCAGGTGGGAGGGTGGGGGTGGAAAGGGTCCAGCTTTAGAGTGTTGAGTTTCAGGAACTGCTTTAACATCAAAGGGGAGCTTTCCCAGGGCAGCCAATGTGATTAATATAGCAACTTGGATTAAAAAAAAAAAGTACACTCTGTTACTTCATTGAATCCCCACACCTACTACTAAGAATTTTTTAAAAGATTTTATTTACTTTTAGAGAGAAGGAGAAAGAGAGGGAGACAAACATCAATGTGTGGTTGCCTCTCATGCACCCCCCCCCCCCCCACTGGGGATCCAGGCCACAACGCAGGCATGTGCCCCGACTGGGAATTGAACCAGTGACCTTCTGGATCACAGTCTGGCACTCAACCCACTGAGCCACACCAGCCAGGGCTATTATTAAGAATTTTTGTAGTAGAAACAACTGAGACTCAGAGAGATGAGCCGACGTAGCTAGAATTACAAAGCAGTGAAGGAATCACCTCATTCCACATCCCTGCCACGCCCCACCAAACGCCGCCCGTTTTTTGTAGAAGTGGGGTATGGGAGTTCGTTTCTTCTCCACCATCGAATGAACGTTTGGGAGCCATCTGCAGAGTTTGGGTGTGGAGCTGCTCTCAGAGACAGCGAGTGCACTTCCCCAGAGTTGTGTGGCTCTAACTGCTCCAACACCTCTTCCCTTTGTGACTTTTTAGCGCGAAAACTTTCTCAAACTACTAAGTGCTCTTGAGCGCCCCTCTGTTAGAACAATGCCCAGGAGGCACTACGACGGTGGTCTTGAGACTACAACGCCCGAAATGCCTAGGGGCTAGAGAGGCGGATAGGCTTCGACCTCGAATTCAAAGATCCAGTTAACCCAGTCTACAGCCAGATATGGTCACATCTTTCTCTCTTCCCGCCAGAGACTTCGGTTCCCAGCTCGGGCTTCCAATTCCACTATTTTCCCAGTGGGAATGCTTGGTAGGGGGGCGGGTGGAGAGCGAGAGTAGGGCGCATGCGTAATAGCGCACCCAGTTTGGGGAGGGAGGGCAGCGGCGGCACCGGAGCACATTCCCCCGCGCGCGCGTGCGCAGAGGATAAAACACCGCCCGGGGACTGAGGCGCGGGTTTGGTGGCGCGTTTTAGCGAAGTCGCACGTGAAGAGTAGCAGTGGCCGAAGGCTGGTGAGTGCGAGCCGAAACTGGAGCTCGGGGGCAGGCGGGCGAAGGAGGCGTCAGCCACTGCAGGCGGGGCCGGGGAGGAGCCGCGAGGCCCGGAGAGCACGACTGGGGAGGGGTCGGACTTCGCTCGGCGGGAAAGGCAACTGGGGACCCAGATCCTTGTTGCTATGCAACAGGGGGCGTCGTTACTAGGTAACAGGAGGAACTCTTTTCCCGGGAGCATAGGGTTCGGAGCTGTGCTCAGAAGTCCTGCGGAGGTGCCGCGGCGCGGCGGCGGGGCGGCGGTCAGGCTGGGGAAAGAGGCCAGCGCTGGGCATCTCGCCCCGACCCCCACTCCATGGCCCAGCCTCCTGCGGCCTCGCTCCGAGCCCCTTAGGGTGCCCCGAATCTATGGGCCGCGCCGGGTCCCTTGCCAGAGTCGCCACCCAGCAAGGGCTTGGCAGGGGACACGCTGTTCGAAATAGCGCATGCCATTGACACCCTGTCTCCGAGAGGCTGAGCCCTGGGGAGGGCTCATGCGGCTGGGAAGCTGCCCCTTTGCCTGTCGCCCTGCCCCCAAACAGTTGGCTGGGAAGCAGCTGTCAGGGGGTTAGCGGGGGCTGCCCCCACCTGCCAGGACGCTGACTTCATTCCCCGCAGTAGCAGCTTCGCCTAGTCTAACAGCTTCCTTACCACACAGCTGCCCTTCTTGGGTGGCCGCTGCAAATTTGAATCAACTTTAAAATAAGACCATCTCCCCTCCTCTCTAGGGCTCTCCGTAGCTACCCCCTCGGCTTCTGGGGGGAGGGGGCTTCTAATATTCATTTAACAAGCATGTATTCATCATCATTCTATGCTAGACTCTGGGGATTCCAGAAAAAGTTAGCTGTCAAGTCTGACCGGGAGGTGCTCAAAGTCTAAAGTGGGAGGCAGGCATACAAACTGCTAAATTCTGCTACAATGTAATGAGGGTATATTGGCAATTTGTGTACTGCAACATTTCTATACAAAGTTCTTGCAGAAACATGTTAACTTGCAATAGCTCTTAACCCTGCTTAACCCTATTTCACACTGGAGGAGACTGAAACTCAGATAAAGTAATGGGCATAAGGTAGTGGCTTCTGATTTGTGGCAGATCGAGCCTGGGACCAAAATTGAGGGTCCTTTGTACACTGCTACACTCCCAGGGCTTTACCTAGAGTATACTTCTCCCTGTACTACTGATTATGGTTATATGCCTCAGAAATCCCTCAGAGTCCTGAAGACGAAAGTCTAAGCCTTCTCTGGAAGAGTCTGACATAGCTGGCCCCGGTGGGGCAGACATCCTGATGGCCAGAGTTGAGAATCGCTGTGCTGTAGGGGCGGCTCTGAACAATGATGGGGAAATCAGGGCCAGCAGAGGGCACTAAGTCAGCTGCCCCTCCCGCCACATCGTGATTCATGTGGTGAAAGGAAACTAAGCAGAGGAAGAAGCTTTGGCATGGGGTGTGTGGACCGCCCCACCCTGCCCTCTTAGCAAACCACACCTAAACATATAGTGCCTTCTCACTGCCACAGTTAAAGAAGGCAGTTTTCCATGCTCAGCCGGGTTTCCCTGGTCCTGCCTGAGCCATATTGCAGCTGCCCTAGCCACAGCTGGAAAGTCTAGTCCCAATTTTTTGCTATCTTCATACCTCTTGATACAAAACCATGACCTGTAAGCCCAGCAGGTGGGCCATCTCCTGGTGTGTAGTCTCATGCTGGGAGTCTGGATGTCCTCTCTCTTTGAACTTGTTGATATTTGGGAGGACTATAATTGCCTTGAGGCAGAGACTAGGTCTTACGGAGCCAGTGTGCGGGTGTGAAATGAGCAAAAGGGCAAGATTTAGATTTTGGGTTCTGGAGTCAAGTCCCAGTTCTGCTGTGTGAACTGGAACAAATCCCTCAACCTCTTTAAGCCATAGTTTTCTGAGTAAAATATGGAGAGTAGCAATGTCTTATAAGATTGTTCTAAGCATTAAATGAAGTGGTGAAATAACAAGCACTTTGTAAATTACAAAGCAGCATACACAATATATATATATGTGTATACACACACAGTTTGTTATCATTGAGTGCGTGCTATTTGAGGCTAGGCATTGCAGGAGGTGAAGATACTTAAGACGTACTTTCTCTCAGTTCGAGACTGCTTCTGCTCTTGACCATGGGTCCTTTTTAGTAAAAGCGTTTGGTTGGGCTGAAGTGAGGAGGAGTAATGGTGACGGGTCAGATGCTCGCTGCCTGGGATTAACGTGGAAGAAGAGAGAAAGGCTCCTGTTAAAGAAAACAATTCAAAGAAACAGACCAGCCAGTAAGCTGCACTCTTATCTGCAAAGGGTGCACTCCACAATTCTGTCAGATTAGGTTTCCAGTGCACTTCAGAAGGTTCAGCTGGCAGGGCAATACCGGCCTCACTGGCCTCACTGGGGAGGGCATATTTCAAGGTCCCCCAGCTCCCCTCAACTGGGTCTGGTGGCCGCTTGAAAGTGGAGGCTAGAGCAGAACTCAGCAGGCTGCTATGGGGGGCAGGGAGCTCATGTCACCCTGACCTTCTAGAATGGAGGCGGCGGCATCTGATTCCTGCTGGTGGAGGTCCTTGGGTCTAGAATCCAACCCAATATAGCAACCCTGCTCTTTAAAGTCTCCGGTGTGGTTATGACCCAGATAGCCCAGAAACTGACCTGTGCTTTCTTCACCTCCAACCACGGGTAGGCAGGAACCATCTGGTTCTTCATTTGTGCCAAAAAGAGTGGGCGGCTTCCCAGGCTGGGGTCGTTCCACATGAATTGCATGTTTTCTAACCCTGCTTGATCCTGCAGGTCTCAGGGGAGACTCAGAGCAGCTGTTTCAGGGCCAGAAAGTGCCCGAATGCGATATTTTTTATAAATAACCCTTTCTCAAACGTGCTCCCTTCCCTCTGCTCCATTCTGCTGGCTCTGATTTCTGGCCAGTTCTCTGAGTGCCCTGGTAGCTGCAGAAACTTCAAGCACCGGCTGCTCCCACCTCAGAGGTATGACTTACCCTGCGATCACCGGGTCTGAATCATGGAAACTCCCTGGAGCTACAGGTTCATTTCTGAGCCTGGAAATGAAGAAGGTGTTTGCTGGGGCCGGTTGATATTTTTCAAGCATGGTCACAAAGAGAAGTTGGGATTGAAAACACTTCTCGGCTGATCCTTAGCTGCTTCAACAAGTTGGAACTTGCTGGGCCTTAACTGGTCCGTGACATAACATCATGCAATAGACGAGACCAGAGCACAAGACACGGAGGGGTTGAGTGAATTGTCGCCTGTAATTCACGGAGATGATCGGGAGATGCCACATTCCTTTTAGCTCACAGATAATCTATGGCGTGACTTTCTAAATCACCTCTGAGACTAACATTGGAGCCTGTCCAGCAGGGTAGTATGTGCAAGGGGTCTGATGTGAGGCACACCCAGGTTCAAATCCTAGCCTTTCCACTTGTGTCCTATCCCACCTCGGTTTCTTCATCAGTCAAATAGGGGTTAATAACAATACCTCCGTGATGGGTTGGTTTGTTATGAGGATTAACTGAGATAAGTGGTACACGGTTAGCTTTTCATTACTAATAGCGTCCTTCCGTAAAGGTTGTGCTTTATAACCCTTTGCCTCCATTGTGGGCTGGAGAGTTGAGTTCCTTCTGAGTCTGCGGGTCTCAGCTTGCACAGTGGAGTCGCCTGCGGAGCTTTTTCTGGCCCAGGCCTAGGCTGCCTCCAGACAGTGACATCGGAACTTCTGGGCGTGGGGCAGCGGAAATAGTCCTTTGGGAAGCTCCCACGTGATTCCCGTGAGCAGCCACAGTTGAGACCTGCTCTCTTACCTTCACTCCAGCGAGTGTGCTATTTGGGAGCAGAAGCTTGGGTTCCAATCCTGGCCTTTCTACTTCGCCCAGTGACCTAACCCCTGTCTCAGTTTCTCGTCGTCTGTGCCAGTAAGGGTGAGGAGGGTAGCACCCACCTCACAAACTTGGTCCTGCAGAGCAAGTGGCATGCATGTACTTACATTCTTGTTTTGGGCACGGAACTGAGCACTTTATGTTGTTGCGCAGTGGTAATCCTATTTGTGTGCTATTTCTAAGTTGTTTTTCTATATTACCTTCATTGAAAGTAGATTATACACTCCTTGGGGACAAAGCCTTGTATATATATATTTTTTTATTTTTAAAGAGAGGGCGAGGGAGGGGGAAAGAGAGGGAGAGAAACATCCATGTGTGGTTGCCTCTCACGTGGCCCCCACTGAGGACCTGACCCTCAACCCAGGCATGTGCCCTGACTGGGACTCAACCTGTGACCCTTTGGTTCACAGCCCGCACTCAATCCACTGAGCCACACTAGCCAGGGCATGTTTTTTTTTAATGCCCAAAGCACCAAAGATGCAGAGACAGGCCTTCAGGCTTTTGTCAGCCTTTAAAAAAGTTCTTTTTAATTTATTGATTTGGGGCAGGGGGAGAGAGATACTAATTTCTTGTTCCACTTATTTATGCATTCATTGATTGCTTGTATGTGCCCTGACCGGAGAGTGAACTGGCAACCTTGGCGTGCCGGGACAACGTTCTAACCAACTAACCTACCTGGCCTTCAGATTTTTAGAGCTGGAGTAAGCATTCGAGAGATCTTCTCATCCACCCCAGGGCACTGAGTGATCCTCACTGCTTAATTAGTGTGCTGGTGGTGAAGAATGGGAATGAGGAATCCGTGAATCAGGTGTTTGCGCTCAGCTTAAGTTGGGAAGTCCCAGTTCTGCCTTTCTCAACTAACAGGGCTGGGGTGGAGGGGGTGCCGGGCAGGCCATGGCTGAGACCGTGGGTCTCTGTGCTGGCTCTCTGCTCACTCTGTGCTTCTCTCCCTGCAGACCCAGCATGGCAGGTTCAAGTAGCACTTGGCCATTGTGCAAGCATCTGTTTAAAGTCATCCTGATGGTCCTCGTGGCCCTTGTCCTCCTCCACTCAGCGTCATCTGAGTCCCCTCAAGACTTTCCGCTACCGGGCCAGCAAAAGAGGGAGGTCCCACGTGATCTCCTGAGCCAGACCGGACGGTCCGTGCGGAGAACGCTGGATGCCTGGGTCGGGCCAGAGACCATGCACCTGGCTTCTGAGGTAAGGAAGGTGGTCCCAGCTGTGACTGTGTGCACTGACCAAGCTGAAGGAGGAGACGTCATTCATGGCCACCTCATCTTGGCTCTTTATCTTCTGTGTGTCAGGATCCCCAGTGCAGAGAGCCCCACATTCTACAAGAGGAAGCAGTTTGCACTCCCATTGTTCAAATTCTACCCCGAGGCCCTTAGCTCCACCCCCATCCCTCCCTTGCTCCTGTCCCTTCTTGCCAGAAAGGCTGGGAAATGAGTCATTTTTACAAACCCATGTCACTGGGTGACTGTAGAGCCTGACTTTAGCCTACGTTTGATCTAAAGCCTTAAGTTGGCAAAATATCCGTTCTTCACCGGTAGAGGTTGGGGCAGGGCTGACTCGGGAGCTTAAAGCAGGCTGTCCCTTCTGCCCAATGGCATCCCAAATACGGCGTCGTGTACTTTTGATAGATCGCATTAAATGGCTCAGAGGATGGTTGATAACATCCACGGTATGGGAGAGCTAACTGACTCCATTTTCCCTGAACATCCTAGCCCTTGACAGCTGTTACTCCACGCGCCTTCACGATTCCCCGGGAGGCTAGGCGGACCCCAGTTTCACAGGGTGACTGGCAATACGGATTTAACAATTCCCCCGCCCACATACACCTACTACCACCAGCAAAGTGTTTGAGCGAGTCTGTTGACTTAGGGCCCAGATGTCCTGGGTCCTGGTTCAGGAAGGAGAAGTGGCCTGCTGTCCATCCCTGTGCACTGAGGAGGGGGCCCCTCCGCCCGGGCCGGACAGGCCAGCCTCTGGCTGAGCGGCAGTGGGAGACGCTCCTGCCCTGCCGAGCCTCGCCTGTGCGGCAGTGGGAGGCTTGCAGGAGAAGAGCCTCATTCGTTATGGGTCCATCTCAGCACTGCTCTTTCCACAGATGGCGGCTCAGGTGATGGGCGTCGCCGCCTCAGCCATCTCCGTGGGCTGCTTCGCGCTGTCTGGGATCTCTGCCCAGCTGCTGAATGCCTTGGGACTCGATGGTGAGTGGCAGACAGCTAGCCGGGTCAGCTGAGCTTGGCCCGTCACTTCCTGTTTGTGGGAGTTTGTCTTTTTTTGGGTCTAAACAGTTAGTTCCCCAGGGTCCCGGCACCTCCCAGGTTTCCCCAGAGGCCAGCATAAGAGCAGACCCAAAACTACCACTGCCTCCACCACCTACCAGGCATTAGCTTCTCGTCAGGAGAGGCATCGTGCTAAGTCATAGTATCTCATTTAACTTGCCCACAGCCCAGAGACTGACTCCCATGTTGTAGACGGAACAGGCGCAACCCAGGGAAGTAATCTACCCACAGCTGGCTGGCAGGAACCAGAGCTGAGAGATTCAGGCTATCATCTCTGTGACCCTGTGGGAAAGGATTTGTATTTCCTTTGCAGGCAGTAAGGGGGTTTAGGTCCTCCCTTTCTCTGGGTTCTAACTCTCCCCTCCCCCACCGGCCCTTCACCACTCCAGGTCGGCTAATTCTGTGATTCTTCTCCTTTCAGGAGATCACCTCACGCAGGGCCTGAAGCTCAGCCCCAGCCAGGTCCAGACCTTCCTGCTGTGGGGAGGGGCGGCCCTGCTCATCTACTGGCTTCTGTCCCTCGTCCTCGGCTTGCTCTTGGCCTTGTTGGGGCGGATCCTGTGGGGCCTGAAGCTGGCCATCTTCCTGGTCGGCTTTGTGGCCCTGGTGAGGTCGGTGCCTGACCCTTCCACCAGGGCCTTGCTCCTCCTGGCCTTGCTGACCCTTTACGCTTTGCTGAGCCGGCTCACTGGCAGCCGGGCCTCGGGGGCCCAGCTGGAGGCCAAGATTCGGGCACTGGAGCGCCAAGTGGAAGAGATGCGCTGGCGGCAGACGCGAGCAGCCAAGGGGACCCGGGGCGTGGAAGAGGAGTGAGAAGGACGCCTGGCAATGCCACCTTCGTCATACCAAAGAGCTGAGCTGCTTCTGGGTCACTGGACCTCCTTCCAGCCCCCAGCCCCTCTCTTGCCCTGTCTCTAAACCCTCAGAACTTTGATCTCTGCACAAGACCCCCTAGCTGAGAGGGAGGACGACCATTCCCCCTGCGGGTCTTCTGTCTGGGGTTGGTTTGTTCTCTTACCCCTTTCTCTGCTCCTCTGACCAACCCCCCCCCCCCCGCCCACCTATCTCAGCCAGGGTAGCTTGGAGAGCAGCCTCCCCACTCCCCCCAGCTTTTGCATCTGCTCTCAGCAAACAACATCACTACCACTGGCCACCTGTGACTCTGCCACCACCTTGCCTTCCTGCTGTTGCTGTTGCTTCCTGCCCTTCTCTTGCCCCTCCTTTGCCGAGTTCCAGCTCCCTTCCTGTTTGTCTCCTTCCAGCCCTGTGCTCCAACCAAACCACTGCCCCTCAAGGCCTGCTCCTGTCCCCTTCATTGCCCAGCGTGGGAAAGAGGCAGGGTATATGGGACTTGAGGGGAAGAGAAATGGGGATGTTCCCCCACGGGGCTGGGGGGCGAGGTATACATGGAAGTCTGTTACAAGTGCCTTAATCCGAGCCAGCGGGCCCTCTGCCCGCCCGCTGCTCTACCGCATTTAAGAAAGCATGCTGTGGCCACTCCGTGTCAAGAAGAGAGTGGTTCCTCTCAGGACCTTGATTCCCCTTCAGCCACAGCAAAAGGTGACTGCTTCGTAGGCTGTGCCTGCACGTAGGACTGCGTGGTGGCTGTCAGATCCCCTGTGGGAATTTCAGGGACCTGAGGAGGAAGGGAGACTCCTTCTTGACTGCAGAGCTCCAGGCGGGTCTCCACATCTCTGTCTCCACTCACTGCCACCAAGGAGTCGCTGATCCGGGCCCACTGCAGTGGCCTGGGAGGATCATGGAGCAGATACACCAGAGATGGCACCACAGCCCTTTCCTCTCACACTCTCTGCAGGGAGCAGGGGGAGCCTGCTGACCCCGCTCCACCAGGGCTCTCCTGGAGGGGGGCACCCTCCTGTGCCAGGCCGGGCAGCTGACCCACGTGACAGGAAGAGGGAATAATGTGGAATCACAATCCCAATGTGGAATCACAGCTGCAGTGATACATATTTTTATCAGCGCTTGGTTCTAAATAAAGTGCTCGCTGTTTTATTATCTTGTTCTGTGTAACTCGTGTGACTCAAAGTCTGGACTGCTTCGATTTCACCCTCTGCAGATAAAACCCATTTCTGTAGAGAGCCCCACAGCTTTCTTGACTTCTCCCGGCAGGGGCAGTGCCAAGCTGGTAGGGAGGGAAGGAGGGGTAGGGGCAGGAAGCAAGGCTGGAACCAGGTGTCCTTCCCTCCAGGATCATGAGGGATGGGGGAGGCGTGCCCCATTACAAAACCTCCAGGAACTGGCCAGCACCCCCACCTCTGTGCAGGAGTGTCAATAGCTGGCTGCCCTTCTTCCTTCCCCCACCAGACCAGAGTTTCCTGTACTGGGGTTCTCAACCCAGCCCATAGATCAAATCAATTGTGGAGGGGCCTGGACATGTTTTCTGTGTGTGTGTGTGTGTGTGTGTGTGTTTATTTTTCTTTAGCTACCCTGGAGATGCTAATGGTAGCCAGGTGCCCTGCTCTGGAACCTCCCTGACACTTGCTGGCTGGCAAGCCTGGCTCAGAAGGCCAGGATCCAGGAGGCAGAGACAAGCTCTGCCACTTGCTAGGCCCACAGGCCTCCCTCTGGATGGAGCCGGGCATGTAATTCTAGCTGCCCGCACTCAGAGCCCTTCCTCCCCAGGAGCGGCCCTCTGCCAGGACAGGCCAAGTGGTTGTCACCCGGCCCTACTGGCCCCCTTTCACCGCTTTTCCAGCCCTGTAGCACGGTCCCCCTTGTCCTTGAATTCAGATTCTGATTCAGGTGTTAGATGCCTTCACAGGTGAGCTGCGTGTGGGGCGGGGCAGAGGCAGGGGAAGTGGCTTTTTCCTCCTGAGTCCGGGAGCTTCTGAGAGGGAGCGAACGGAACGCGTCCTACCCCTCTTGGCAAAGGCGGGTCAGTCCCCCGCTGTTCAGGGTCCAGGGACGTGGCCTTCTCCCCGAGTTGGAGCGTGGGGGCGCCCGGGGGTGGCGGATCCGTCGGGCGCTAGGACCCGGCGGGGCGGAGGGACAGCCCCTGGGCTGCGTGCGCTCCCTCCCTCCCACCTCCTGCTCGGGCTCCGGCTCCCGCTCCATTGTCTGGGATCGGCAGCCGCGGGCGTGCGGCCGGGCGGGCGGGCGGCGGCCAGCACCCAGCCGGCCGGATCGGGCCGGCGCCGAGCGGGCGCGGGAGATGTCGGACGGCCCGCGACCACCTGAGCCGCCCGCCTAGTCCCCGCCTTCCGTGGGAAGGATGTGCACCCGGATGGAGGGGCGCGCGGCCGCGGTTCCCCGGGCGCCCTGCGGCCCCTGGCTCTGCCTCTGGGTGGCCCTCGCCCTGCCCGTCGTGAGAGGTCAGCGGGAGGCGTGGGGCAGGGCGGGCGGGCGGGAGGCGGCTGGGCCCCGGCCCGAGCCGAGCGCGAGCGATGCCCGGGAGCCGGGAACCTGCGGGTGCTGCTCGGACTGAACCTCAGCGGGCTGGCCCGCAGCGTGCCCTGAGGGCTGGCGCGATCTCACCCCGGGATCCTGCCCCGCTGCTTCCTTCACCTCGCACAGCCCGGCAACTCCTTCCCGACCCAGGATGAGCCGGGTCCCTGGCTCTTCCCGCCACCCCCGCACCCCTACGGGGTCCCGCACCTCCCACCAGCCTCCGCTCCAGGCAGGGCATCCAAACCAGCAGCCCCCTGACCCGGGCGCACCAGTTCGCTTATCCGCCCTCCACGGAGCTGGAGCTGCATCCGCGTGGCTCCCAGCCTCCTCTCCGCACCTCCAGCCCACCCCCGCGAACGGGAAGCAGCCTCTTTGCCTGGGACCTGCAAGATCTGTAGCCGCCCTCCTCCTGCCCCAAGGAGTTGTCTGACCTTGGAGTCCCAAGAGATTGCCCCATCCGTGCCTTCCTGAGCCCTGTGGGGCATCCCCGTCATGGGAGGAAGGGGCAGCGACTCCCTTGTTCCCTGGGGCGGACTGCCCTTGGCGGGGGCTGTGGCTGCAAGGTGGATGATGGCACGGAAGAGTGTGGGAGAGGGAGACATTCTCTACCCCGCTCACCCCCACGGAGAGAGTTGAGATCTGGATGGCGGGAGTCCGTGGGAGTCAGGCTTCCCAGCATCTTGTAATTATCCAGGCAGTGGAGGAGGAAGGGAGGCCAGTGGCTGTCCCCAGGGAGCCATAGTCACTCACCTGTTACACTTTGGGGAGAGGGGGGGAAAGAGTGTCTCAGGCACATGCTCATTGATGGGGAGGGTCTTGAAGGACTTTGAAACCCTCAAGTCCCCCAGCCCAGCAATGGAGCTGAGAGGGAGCTGGCTTGGGCTGCTTTCAGCCACCTGCTCCCCTCCCCGGGGGACCCTGTGGGAGCCCTAATAACCCCTCAGACAGATAGATGAGGAAAGCCTTGTCACATCCATTATGCCGCAGCAGTAACCCCTCCTCCATGCTGCGCTCCACAGTGTAGAGAGCCCTCTCCTGTCCACGCGGTCACTCTGTGCTGGTTCTACAGGTGAGGACACGGAGGCTCCAAGATGTGAAATGACTGACCCAGCCTTCCTTGAGGGAGTCAGGGTGTAGATGCAGGTCTCCAGGCTCCCAGGGCAGCCTCTCCAGCTGGTGATCCAGGATGAAGAAGACAAGGTCCCGGCTGATAGACAGGGCGATAATGTTCGGAGAAGGCAGCCAGAGGGGCATTTAACGGAGGGGTTGGGTGAGAGGGCGAGCAATCAAGGAAGGCTTCCTTAAAGAGGCAACATTCATGCTTGGCCCTGAAGGAGGAGGGAGAGACCCACAGTCCAGGGAGCGAACACTGTTGCAAGCAGCATAGGGTTGGAGAGAGAGGTGGAGGGTGGGGGCAGGGTGGTCTGGTGGTCGATGCCTGGACTCTGACTCCCAGCTCCATCATGCACCAGCTGTGGGGCCCCAGGAAGGACCTGAGCCTCTCAGCTTCATTTTCTGCATCCATAAAATGGGATTAATAGCCATAGTACCACAGGAACAAATTTAAAGGACACATGGACAAAAACTAGGGGGAGGGTGGTAATGGGAGGGAAGTGGGGAGGGTTGGGTGGGTGGGCTGGAATGGGAGTAAAAGGGAGAAAACTGTACTTGAACAATGATTAAAATAAAAAAAAATAGTCATAATACCTAATTCTCAGAGTTACACCCAAAACTGAAAGAGTTAATACATGTATGTAAAGTGTTTTAAATGGTAGCTTGCATATAGTTAGTGTTCTGAAATTGTTCATTATTGTTATTGGGGCTAGCTAGGAGTCAGTTGGGTACAACCCAAGTGTGGTCTCAGTGGCCCTTTGTCCTGGTTACTGAATACAAGACTCCCAGGCTTATGGCTCCCACCCATACCACCTCCTGGCACTCTTGCATTCTGGTACCCAGTTGGGGTAGGGAAGAAGGGAGCACGTTTGGGGAACTGATGTGAGGTTGCCATGGTGATGATGAAGAAGGGAGGATGGACGCCCAACCAAGTCTGGCGAAGGACCTAAGGACAGAGAAAGGGTCTCTACCTCTACAAAGCTCACCCAGTCACCATCTTTTACCTCACAGGCTCTGTCTGGAGAGAACTGTACCCCACAAATGCTTTAGTGTCAGAGGCAGTGATAGGGGCTGGGAATGGGGGAGGAGGAGGCAGTGAGAAGGCTCTGCTGGAGGGAGGGAGGTAGAAGAAGGAACGGCCCGGGACTGGCATCCAGTCCTGGACTCTGAGTCAAATCCCAGCCCTGGCACACGCTACCTGTGTGACCCTCTTTGGGCCTCAGTTTCCTCACCTGTGAGATTCCCCCCACATCCCAGGGGTGGGAGCCCTTTTACTTCCTCCACTGCTCACCGCCACTGCGCCCTTGCCAGCTCTGGCACTGTCACCGTCTCTATCCCTTCTCCCTCTGCAGTGGGCTGTGAGCAGCAGCCCCTGGACCCCGTCTACCTGCCGGCATCCCTGGAGCTCCTGGATGCCCCTGAGCACTTCCGCGTGCAGCAGATGGGCCGCTACCCACCTGCCAACTCCTCTCTGGGCTCCCGATCCGAGACCTTTCTGCTCCTGCAGCCCTGGCCCAGGGCCCAGCCACTTCTCCGGGCCTCCTACCCACCTTTTGCCACCCAGCAGGTAAGGAGGGGCACCAGGGATTCCCAGGCTGACAGGGCTCAGAGCCAAGGTGTGCTGTGTGTGGCTCAGGGGCCTGCCCCAGCCCCAGCTGTGCTTACCATTTTCTAGAGAGGGGAAACGGAGGCCCCTCTCTCCTGCCAGGCTGGAATTGGAAGCCTGGCATCCCATCTTCCCACGTCCCACTTCCCTCAACCCCCTGCTTTCTGAGCACCCCAATTCCCCCTGCAGGTTGTCCCTCCTCGGGTCACTGAGCCCCACCAAAGGCCGGTCCCCTGGGACGTGCGGGCTGTGTCAGTGGAAGCGGCTGTGACTCCAGCAGAGCCCCACGCCCGAGTCCTCTTCCACCTCAAAGGGCAGGACTGGCCGCCGGGACCTGGCAGCCTGCCTTGTGCCCGGCTCCACGCCACACACCCCGCAGGCACTGCTCACCGAGCCTGCCGCTTCCAGGTGAGTGGGCGGGGCCCGCCCAGGCTGGCCCTGCTAGGCGCGAGCCAGAGGATGGTCCCGGAGTAGGAAAGAGAGGGCTCACCACTCGTGAGAAGTTTGGGGATCACGGGCCACCGGACTCCATTCTATCTCTGCTAACCTTCACGAGACCCTGTGACGGGTTATTTAGGGCCCTTTGTGGGGATCAGTCCATAGTGTATGATTTTGCGCAAGTGACTTAACCTGAGGCTTTACAGATGAGCTTCCTCATCTGTAAAATAGGGTTAATGACAGTTGCTACCTCATACAGAGTTGGAATAAAGCATCAACGAGATGGATGTAGTGTCTGGCGCAGAGCAAATCCTTCATCGAGGGTTTGCATTATTGTCAGGATTCCTTTTACAACTGCAGCTCCCACTGTTCTGGAGTCTCACAGGAGTCCACTGGAGAGGGGTGCTTCACGGTCTTCGGGGCTCTGAGAAGCCAGAACTGCCGTCAGGGAGGTCCTGGGGCATGGCTAGGGGAGGCCTTAAGGGAATGAGACTGTTTGCAAAAGTACAAGAGTGCCCCGTAGACCCATTCTGAGACCTCCGCCCAGCCCTGCCCCTCGCTGGCTGTGTCACCTGGGATTCATCTCTGGCCCATGTTGGCCCTGCCTGTCAGGGACCCTCACAGCTCTGGGTCTCCTGCCTTGCCAACCAGGGCGATCGTTTTATTTGCAGCCATCCCTGGGCGCCTGCGTGGTGGAGCTGGAGTTCCCCTCCCACTGGTTCTCCCAGGACGCCCCCACGCGGGCGGAGCTGGCCTACACCCTGGAGCCCGCCGCCAAGGGCCCTGGCGGCTGTGGCCCCGGAGGGGAGGAGGACCCTGGGGAACAGGCCCTCCCGGTGGGCAGTGTGGAGCTGCGCCCTGCGGACCCCCCACAGTACCAGGAGGTGCCCTTGGATGAGGCAGTGACCCTGCGGGTGCCCGATGTGCCCGTGCGCCCCGGCCAGCTCTTCAGTGCCACCCTCCTGCTTCGCCACAACTTCACAGCCAGTGTCCTGACCCTGCGGTGAGCACGGGGCCCCGAGGGGTGGGTTGCAGGCGGGAACCTCTGCAGGAAGACTGGGCAGGTACCTGCTCCTCTCGCGGTCCCCGCTGACCCCTCCGGGCCTGTGTCTGCCCCAGCAGCTGGCAAGACCCAGCAATGGGCCCTGCCCTGAATTTGAAGCCACAGGTAGGAAGCTCCCCTCTCCTGGCACCTTCCCAAGACTCCATTGTCTAGGGGGACTAACTCGCCTGCTTCATAGGGCAGCTGTGAGGCCCCGGGTAGGGAAAACAGGAAAGGGCTTGGAAACCAGCAAGGGCAGTACCTGGGGGCTGTTAATGCTTCCGTGCCTCAGGAGGAGGGTTCGCTCCCGTCTCATTAATTTGCATGTTCTCCTGCTTGCCTCCCTCACCACGGGTCCTCATCTTTGGCCAGAGTCCATGCCTCTCCACGAGGAGGGCCTCCACTTTGTGTCCCTTTCTGCAGGAAGTTCCCCCAGAGCAGCCTCCCGACCCCATCCCAGGGACAGGGCCTTGCAAAGTGTGACTTGCCTCTTCCGTATTAGGGTTTGTGTGTGTCCCTTCCCTATGTGTCTCTCAGGTGCCTGTCCCATCTCCCTGTGTCTCAGTGCCTTCCTGTGCTCACTCGTATACTCATTAGATCTTTCCTGGACCTTAAAGTACGCCGGCCTGTATCTCCACTCTGGAGAGAGGAGCAAGGCCCAGTCCCCTCCCGGCACTAAGGGGCCCCCAGCAGTAGGGAAGGGAGCTGGATGGGCATGGACTGGATTATATGCTCTTACGAAGCTACAAAGTGCTGTGGGAGCTCGGGTTAGGGGATGGAAGAAGGGGAAATTCATCCAGCCACGGGAAGAGCTTTCCAAAGGACGTGGTATTTGAGTTGCTGGAGGCTTGAAGAATCAGCAGATGCAGAAAGGAAGGGAGGCCGGGCAGAAGGGCACAGCCTGAGCAGAGGCTGAGAGGCACGGATGGGGCTGTGTATGTGGGGAAGGACTTCGGGTGTAGCTACAGCAGAGAGTGATGGAGAGATGTCACAGCTAAAGCTAAAGCTGGACCAGACCCTAGAAGGCCTCGAATGCCAGGCTTAGACTTGGCCTTGTGGCCTTGTGGCCAAGTGGGGAGTCATCGGTGGTCTAGGCGTAGGGGAGAGCTGCGTGACATGACCTGCATTGAGATAGGGTCCTTCTGGGTCAGAGGACATCTAGGAGGATATTCAGGCCTGAACCAGGGGAGGCCAGACGGGAGGCCGGTGTCTCCAGCCCCTGGTCTTCCCCCTCGGACCCTGTCCACAGCTCAGCACCCACCTTGACAAACTGGACCTGTGTCCTCCCTCCAGGATCAAGGTGAAGAAGGGGCTGCACGTGACAGCTGCCCGCCCAGCCCAGCCCGCCCTCTGGACTGCCAAGCTCGACCGCTTCAAGGGCTCCAAACACCACACCGCTCTCATCACCTGCCACCGCGCTGGGCCCGCTGGGCCAGACTCCAGGTGGGTAGCTCCTCCGCTGGAGATGGGGTCAGAGGAGGGAGGGTGGGCGGGCAGATTTGGGGGGCTCCGGGGAAGGGTGCTGCACACTGTATCCATGTTCCCATGGAGCAGGCACAGGAACAGACCCCACCAAGGAAGCAGCACAAAGCAGACATAGCACTGATTCACTCAGCCACTATTTGCCCAGCCACGTGCCAGGTGCAGTGAGTGTCTGCGAGTCTCATTCCAGGTGACGCCAACCTATCCTGGCCACCCACTCACAGCCCTCACAGCCACTGCCGCTCCTCCCACCCTTTGGTAATGGGTCCCATTGGGGGGCCATTAATATTCCCAAAAGCCCAGCTGCAGTTCTTTTTTTTTTAAGATTTTATTTATTTATTTTTAGAGAGGGAAGAGAGAGAGAGAGAGAGACAGAGAAACATCAATGTGCGGTTGCTGGGGGCCGTGGCCTGCAACCCAGGCATGTACCCTGACTGGGAATCAAACCTACAACACTTTGGTTCTCAGCCCGCGCTCAATCCACTGAGCTACGCCAGCCAGGGCCCCAGCTGCAGTTCTTAACAGTTTTCAAACTCTTCTTATACGTGCCCTGAGCCTGGGTCAAGGTCATGGGCTTTGAAGCTCCTGTTTGAATCCTGGCTCTGACACTTTTTGGGTGAATAACCTCAGGCAAGCCAGTTAACCTCCCTGCACAACTGCCCACCACCCTACGAAGCCTCAGTTTCCTCGCTTGTAAAATGGGGATAACAGTACATCCCTTAGGGTTTGTGAAAATGAAGTAAGATATCACAGAGCCAGCATCCTGGCCAGTTCCTGGCCCATGGCAGGCGCTCGATCAACAGGAGCTGTGCGGTTTATTATCCAGGGGCTCATGTGCCAGCCCTGGGGCTCGGAAGCAATGCTTCCACCTTGACAGAAGTTGAATCAGGCTTCGTGCCACTCTGATGGCTATGGAAGGCAGAGATCCGAGGGGAGGAGGCCCAAGAAGGCAGGAGAGTCAGCAGAGTTTCGTGGCGGGGGTGGGGGCTGGGGGACGGTTAAGTAGCTGCATGGATCCTGCAGGGGACAAGGGTGGGTAAGAGCTTGGGCTCTGGAGCCAGGAAGCTTGGGTTTAATCCCCCCTGCCGTGTGTGCCACTTTTTGCTGTGTGACCTTGTGCGAGTTATAAGACCTCTGTACCTCAGTTTCCCCGTCTATAAAGTGGGGATAATCATAGGACCTACCACATCAGTACAGGAGTGCCTGACTCCTGGTGAGCCCAGTCTCTCTCTCTTCTGGCCAGCAGCCCCCTCGAACTCTCGGAGTTCCTGTGGGTGGACTTTTTGGTGGACAACGGCACTAGCGGGGGTGTGGCAGTCACTCGCCCCGTCACATGGCAGCTGGAGTACCCAGGCCAGGCCCCCGAAGCAGAGAAGGACAAAATGGTGTGGGAGGTCCTGGTGTCAGAGCGGGACATACGAGCCCTCGTCCCACTGGCCAAGGTAAGGGGCGGCCCCTCGGCCCAGCCGGGTGGGGAGCCGAGTGAAGTGAAGAGCTTGGGGCTGAGCACCTTCTGCATCTCCAGGCTGAGGAGCTGGTGAACACGGCGCCACTGACCGGAGTGCCGCGGCGAGTCCCCGTGCGCCTGGTCACCGTGGACAGTGGCGGGGCCCTGGTGGAGGTGACAGAGCACGTTGGCTGCGAGTCGGCCAATGCGCAGGTCCTGCAGGTGGGTGGCACGCGCCAGTCCCACGCGAGTGTGCATTTGTGCACAGCGATGCACACACAGCTTTCCTCCTCCTCCACTCAGGTCCCCGAGAGGGCAGCAGCTTCTTGACACCGGAAATCTCTTGCGGGGAGCCGCAGCTTTAATTTCCTTTGCTCCCCACCCCTCTCCAGAGTCAAGTGGGAGCTCTGTAACCCCAACAGCCCCCAACTTCGGCACTTTCCCATTCATCAGTGCACTGGCAAGCGAACTGCCGCGGAGAGTTAAGAGCAGGCACTTTGGGATCGGAAAGTGTCTGTTTCTCGAACCCTTTATTGTCAGCTAGCTGTGTGATTGTGGACTGGTCTCTTAACCTCTCTGAGCCTCAGTTTCCTAAGTTTTAAGATGGGAACATACTTTAGGGATGCTGCAAGCATCAAAAGCACTCTAAGTTAGTATCCAGCAGAGAGACAGGGCTGAAACAACAGCTACTATGTTATAATAATAATTATATAATGTTAAAAATAATGGTAATTATTTTTGTTGCATCCTCATCTTGACCCATGAGGTAAAAAAAAAATGGTGGGGCTGGGCACCTTTCCCCATTTCAAAGCTCTAAGAGGGGAAGTTCGGAGCTTGCACTTCTAAATCCCAGCTGCCTGCATGGAGAACAGTGTCTTTGGCTACTTTGGTGGCGCTTTGCCCCTGTGTGACTTGTTCCTACCTGAGGGCTCGGGTGAGCAGGTCTGCCTTGCCCCTCTGCCTCTGCCCACCTACCTGGAACTGGCACCAAAGGCAGAGGCCAGCACTAAGGAGGCAACTTTGGGGGTTCAGACCCTCCCCTGTCAGGAAAGATTCTGTTGTAAGCAAATAGCCAGTTTCCTCAGCTGAGCCCCAATGAACTTGGAGGGGCTGCCTCCTCCAGGGGGAATGGGCCTTGGATGCAATCCAAGGTGAAATCTCCATCTGAGGACATGCATTGTAGTAAAATACAGGCCTGAATTTCGGCCGAACCCCTTCTTAGGGCATGGGGTCCATGCTGTTCTCTCCGGTTCACACCTGTATGCCCTGGCTTTGCACCCCCCTCCCCCCGCCCTCTGCCCTCCCACAGGTGGCCGAGGCCTGTGACGCCGTGTTTGTGTCTGGCAAGGAGAGCCAGGGCGCTCGAGGCGTGCGGGTAGACTTCTGGTGGCGCCAGCTGCGGGCCTCGCTGCGGCTGACTGTGTGGGCCCCGCTGCTGCCCCTGCGCATCGAGCTGACCGACACCACCCTGGAGCAGGTCCGAGGCTGGAGGGTACCCGGCCCGGCTGAAGGGTGAGTGGAGGCCTGAAGAAGCTGGCTGACCTTGGCGAGGTGGCTCTGGGACTAAGAAAGGGCCTGCCGTGGCCACGGGCTGGAGCTGGGGTCTGAAAAATTGCCCAGTGGCTGTGGTTCCTTCCACCCATCCCGGCCGCCCCCGCCCTCTCTGTCCTTCCCCCGCCACAATTCTGTGGCATCCTCTGATTCATCGAGTCTGCCTGTCTGCGGATGCTCTGCCCCCTCCCCAGCTCTCCCCTAGAATGTTAACCCTTGAAGGAAGGAGTTTCTGCGCACTGTTGTGTCCTCAAAGCCTGAGATGGCACCTAGCTCAGTAAATATTGAGGGGTCCCCACCAGAGCCCAAGGGTGCAGGGGCCTCAAAAACCTGAGCTCCCAGGCCCTCCAGAGAGTAAGTGCCCCCCACCCCTCTCGCAAAAGCAGGGACTCTCCTCCTGCCACCACCAGGTTCCAATTAGAGGCAGGAGGAAGGTGAGAGCAGCTTGATGGACAGGTACAGGCACCAATCAGGAACGGAGGGGCCTGGCCCAACAGGGGCAGTGTGGGCGCAGTTTAAAGAATGGAGCCCACCGTGGGCTGGGCATGGTCTCCCGCGGAAGAATCCTTGCGGCCAGAAGCAGAGCCCATGCTGAGAAGGTTGCCGGACCCTGGCTGCCCTTTCTCTGCAGGGCACAGGAGCCCCAGGCAGTGGCTGCCGGGGAGGAGGCAGAGCCGCGAGCCCGGGGCTGCCGCCTGCAGTACCAGCGTGCTGGCGTGCGCTTCCTCGTCCCCTTTGCGGCCCACCCGCTGGACGGCGGCCGCCGCCTCACCCACCTGCTCGGCCCTGACTGGCTGCTGGACGTGTCCCACCTCGTGGTGCCACACGCCCGCGTGCAGGACCCCCGCATAGCCTCGCTGGAGGACGGCCGTGTCCTGGTGGGCCGGGAGCCCGGGGTCACCTCCATCGAGGTGAGCAGACGCCCTGAGGAAAGTGTAGGTGGCCCCCAGAATGTTCCTGGGCAGCTGTGAAGGGCGTCAGAGGGGCTCAGGGCGTATCTGGGGAGGTGTGAGCCTGGTAGGATCGGGGACTGGGTGAGCACAGGGGGGGCCGTGTGATGGGGGACGTCCTCTAGGTATGGAGGGCTGGGGTTGCATGTGCGGGGACCTGGTCTTGAGAGAGGAGGGAGCTGTTCCCCACGGGTAGGACTGGGGTCCAGGTATGTATTTAGGGTGTGGGTTTGGAGTGCAGAGGGGAGGGGAGAGGCTGTCTGTGCACGAGGACCTCCCCCCACCAGCTCCTTCTCACCCTCAGGTGCGTTCCCCACTGTCTGACTCCATCCTGGGGGAGCAGGCGCTGGCCGTGACGGACGACAAGGTCTCGGTGCTGGAGCTTCGGGTGCAGCCAGTGACGGGCATATCACTGGCCCTGAGCCGGGGCACTGCCCACCCCGGGGAGGTCACAGCCACGTGCTGGGCACAGCCAGCCCTTCCTGCCCCAAAGCAGGTGACAGCTGGGGGTCAGGGGGATGAGGTCAGCATCTCTGGGTGGGGGTTGATAACAGGAGGATGGGAGGTACTTTGACCCCTCATCTTAGGGTTTTCAGAATAAGGACTGACTGCCCTGTAAGGTAGTGAGCTCCCTGTGGCTGGAGGTGACCAAGCAGAGCTATCTGGAGTGTGTCAGTGGGAGGTTGATGGTAAACTGACGACCCTACTGATGACTCAGACCCCAGGGCTGAGTGGCCAACAGGTGATTGACGCATGTCCCCTCTCTCCCTGTGTTTTGTCCATCTGCTCGTGTCTGTTTCCTCTCTGGTCCCTCCCCCTCCGTGTGGCCTGTCTCTGTGGGAGTGGTCTCTGTGTGCATGCGTGCGTGCCCTCGCGTCTCTGCCCGTGTCCGTGTGCCCCACAGGAGGTGGCCCTCTCCCTGTGGCTGTCCTTTTCCGACCACACCCTGGCCCCCGCTGAGCTCTACGACCGCCGCGACCTGGGACTCTCTGTGTCTGCCGAGGAGCCCAGCGCCGTCCTGCCAGTGGAGGAGCGGGGTGCCCAGCTCAGGGTGGTGGTGAGTGGGGCAGGCACCGAGGGGCTGCCTCTGCATGTGTCCCTGCACCCGCCGGAGCCCTGCCGACGGGGCCGCCACCGTGTGCCCCTGGCCTCGGGCACCAGCTGGCTCGGGCTGCCTCCTGCTCCCACCCCGGCCCCCGCTGTCCCCTCCGGCCATGCCCGGGCTCTGCCAGCCACGGAGGCCAGTCTGGGAGGTGAAGGGCAGGCGGCAGGCAGCGTGGGGGACAGTGGGGGTGTGCGGGGCAAGTTTGAGCGGGCAGAAGCAGAGGCTGGGAAGGAGGAGGAGGAGGCAGAGGCCAGGGAGGAGGATGGGGAAGAGGAGGAGATGGTGCCTGCCCCCCGGCGGGTCACTGACCTACAGCTAGGCATGTATGCCCTGCTGGGCATCTTCTGTCTGGCCATCCTCATCTTCCTGGTCAACGGTGTGGTCTTCGTGCTGCGCTACCAGCGCAAGGAGCCCCCCGACAGCGCCACTGACCCTGCCTCCCCCCAGCCCCACAACTGGGTCTGGCTGGGCACCGACCAGGAGGAACTGAGCCGCCAGCTGGACCGGCAGTCCCCTGGCCCACTCAAGGGGGAGAGGGGCTGCCCCTGTGAGAGCGGGGGAGGGGAGGCCCCGGCCCCGGCCCCGGCCCCGGCCCCTGCCGGGGCCACCAGCAGCTCCTCCAGCACCCTGGCCCGGAAGGAGGCCGGGGGGCGGCGGAAGCGCGTGGAGTTCGTGACGTTCGCGCCAGCCCCCCCAGACCAGCTGCCCGAGGAGCCCGTGGGGGCCCCTGCCGTGCAGTCCATCCTGGTGGCAGGTGAGGAGGACATCCGCTGGGTGTGTGAGGACATGGGGCTGAAGGACCCTGAGGAGATTCGCAGCTACATGGAGCGGATCCGGGGCAGCTCCTGACCCCTTCCCGCCCCGGCCTGCCGGGCCCAGGCTCGCCGGACTGGGCAGCCTCCTGCTCGTCCTCTGGTGCTTACTGACCCAAGCCCCCTGCCTGGCCCCTCACGAGGACTCCCACCCAGGCCCCCCTCTGCTCTGCTCCTTGTCATGGACCGCGGTCGTGAGGAGAGGCTCACGCCCCTTATTTATGGGAACCCTTTTGTCCTAATGTTGGGTACAAAATACATGGGGAAGGAAACCCCGGCGCGACGGCTGTTGTCTTTTTTCCCACGGAGAGAATCCAGGGGGTGAAAGGGGGGGGGGCGGGCGTGTCAGCCCCTGTCCCTGCCGGCACAGCTCTGGGAGGCTGGGCCCTGAGCGACCCTCTCATAGCGACGAGCGATCCACGTGAACAGGAGGGCAGCGGCGGCCTGGATGCCGGCCAGCAGGAAGAAGTACCGGTCCATCTGGCAGTTGTTGATGTTCCCTGGGGAGAGCAGGAGGGCGGCATTGGGGACAGGCAGGGCTCCGCTGGAGCTGGCAGCCGAAGCAGCGTGGGCAGCAGGTGGGACCCGAAGACCCTGGGCAGGTAGCATCTGGCCGCCCTGGGCCTAGCTCTTCTTGCCGGGGCTTCAGACACACATGCCCCAGGAAAAGGGGGCCCCTCAGCCTGGAGGGCAGAGTGCCGGACGTAGGAAGGAAGCTTGGAGGCCCACTGAGTTCCACGCTTCCTCACTGACAGTGGAGGAAAACGGAGGCCCCAGGAGCGGGGGGGCCACGCGGTGGGCAATGACCCAGCTTCAGCGAGAACCCTGTTCTCTGAATCCAGCTAGCTCCTTGGTTCTGCTGGGGTCAAAGCACTTAGCAATTGCCCCCTCCCTCCACCTGGGTCCCACCCCCAGGGAGGCCCCCACTCACCGTGGTCCTTGGGGCAGTACAACCAGCCACCGGGCAGTGACAGCAGAGCCTCCAGGCTGGAGCCCAGCAGCGAGCCCACCCCAGACAGGAAGAAGAAGATGCCCATGATGGCGCCCTGCATGGAACGCGGGGCCTCGGAGTAGGCGAACTCCAGCCCTGCAGGGAGAAGAGAGGGATGACCGAAGGGGCCCAGGCCCCTACCCACTGGGCCCCTCCCCCAGCCAGCCTCTACCCTGGCTTTCCCTGACCTGTGTCACCTGTGCTCCATGCATCCACCCCACGGACCTCCACCTGGACGACCCCATATTGTCCCAAGAGCCTTGGCTCCCCTCCTCCCCCACCTCCCTGCCATTTGCACCTTCCCTGTCCCCTGCCCTTCCTGCCACCTTCAGTGTCATCGCCAAATCATTTTGATCCAACCTCAGAAACATTTTCTCAGTGTCAGCCCTCTGCATTCCCTCTCTCCTGGGCCAAACCCAAAGCCCCAGTCCCTTCCTGCCCGGCCTCTGCACATGCCTTTGAAACTCCTGTCTCCCATCCTCCTCCTCCTCCCATAGCCAGTTGTCTGAAATAGAGAATGGGGTCCCTTCCCTGCCCAAATCCCCCTGGGGAGTGGCCGTTGCCCTTGGGAGAAGTCTCAAGATCCAGGCTCAACCCACAAGGACCTCCCTGTGCCTCCAGGCTCCTCCCACCCCCCACTCTCCCCACAAGGCCCAGCGCTCTGCTTTGGCTGTTCGATCTGCCTGTGGGGGCCTGACTGCCGCCCGCTGAGTCCTGTCCCCCCTGCACCCTGCCCAGGGCTTCCCCAGCACACTGTCGTCACTTCCACAGCACTCCACCGGGTTTATTGTTCAGGAGACTGTTACCGATCCCCAGCAGTGAGTCCCACCCAGCCTTCCCCTGTGTCTGCAGCTGAGTAGCCCCTGCTATTGACTCATGGAAGAGCCCAGTCCAGCCCAGGGAGGCAGACAGGTAAATGCATTATTACAACACAGCCACCTGTGTGCTGTGACAGAGATCGAGGAGACAAGGGAGGGACAGGGAGGACCCATGTGCCCCAGGGGCCCCTTGGAGAGGGCCTCATGAAGGAGGTGGCATTCTGAACTGAATGGTATACAGGAGTTCTCTTTCGATCTGAGGCAGAGGGAAGAGCAAGGGCAGAGACAGAGAGGGTGGGAACGTGGCAGCGGGGGGAAGTTGGCGTGGGAAGTGTCTTATTCACCTCCAGGTCTCCAGTGCCTGTTGCAGTGCCTGGCACAAACCAGGTGCTAATAAATGCCCGTCAGGTACATGCAGCCCCACTGGGAAAATCCTGCCTCCTCTGTACAGATGGGCTCTGGAGGCTGTGCCTGCGAGACCTCCGACTTTGAGGCTCCCCCAGGCAGAACCCATCCCTGGTGCTAGAGCAGGGGAGGCGTACAGCGTACCTGGGATGCTGGCGAAAATCTCACTGATCCCGATGAGCAGGTACTGGGGGATCTGCCACCAGATGGACAGTGGTGCTGCATAGTACATATTCTCTCCAATCTGCTGGGACACCGTCTGGTTGTGATGAATGTAATCTAAACGCTTCATCTCCAGTAATCCTGGTGGGAGAGAGAGGGTGACTACAGCCAGGTCCACTCCGGGCAGCTTAGCCCATGGCAGAGCTTGGCATGTGGAGGGTATTCACTAAGTAGCCAAGGACTGACTGGGCAGCAGGAAAGGAAAAGAATACTGGACTAGGGTATGTGTGTCAAGATTTGAGTTCTAACTCTTCCCTTTTTGCCTTGCCTGCTAGGAAGCTCAGAGCTGGTTTTGCACTCAATAACAGGAACAACTTTCTTTAATTGAGAGCCTGTTGCATGCTAGGCATTCTTGCAGATGAAGAAAGAGAAATTTAGGTTAAGCAAGAAGCCTAGAGTTGCATAGCTGATAAGTAACTGGAGCAGGATTTGAGCCCCAGTGAGTCTGGTTTCAGAGCTGGCCCGTGTTCCATGCTATCACATGCATGACTTCTCTACCACAGCACCGAGTATTGCAGTCAGGTTTCTAACCTGGCTTTCAAGTTCATTTTATCTCCTTCCTTTTCACTGCTTAGGAGACAGCTGTGCTCAGGTGGAGTAAAGACAGGATGTGGAGTTAGGTGACTAGGGTTCCAACCCCGGCCCTGCGTAACTATGGGCAAATCACTACACCTCGCTGAGACCCCGTTGGGATCAAAATCCCAGTATTACTGTGAGGATGAAATCGGACAAAATGCATTTAAGCACATAGCTTACGAAGAGCCTAGTTTGGTTTTCGTCCTTGCAATACAATACTGTTTGTTCATTCCTCCGGCTCCGACCTGTGATCCAGGCATGGCGCTGGGTGCTTTACGGTCTCGTCTGGCTTAATCTGCACAGCACTCTGGCTAGACTACATTCTGTGTGGGCGGAGCCTGGGCCCTGCACCGGGGCTAAATGAACTACTACCCATGTTTTAAAGGTGAGGCTCAGAGACTCCAAGAAACTTCAGGATCATTAATGACAAAGTGAAAAGGCCTGAGGTTGGTGCAAAAGCATGAAAGGCAGTTTAAACTGAGCTTTTTTTTTTACAAGTGGCTTCAAATTCCTTTGACATGGAAGAGGGAAGAGCCTAAATACTTTGTAAAACAAAAGCTCCCATGTGCTACTGAGAGGCTGCATGCCTTTGGAAAATCCACTCAGCACATTTGTATAAGGCTCACGTGCATTATTCATAGCAGGGAATGAAAACATCCCTGCCCTCAGGGAGCTCACATCCCACTGGGAAAAAGATGTTTTCCTCTCTTGGTCCGAGTTTCCTCATCTGTCAAATGTGGGGGGGCTGGACTCAGTGAGGAAAGCCTATTTCAGCTCCCACCTTCTGGGAAGGCAAGACTGGCACCCATGGGTGGTGGGTATACTTGGCCCAGGCCCTTCCACTCCAGCAGCAGCCACAGAGGAGCTGGTGTCCCCCCCCCAAGCCCCCAGACAAGGCCAGCAGCCCCACTCCCCCACACACCCCTCCACTCAGGCCCGCAGCACACCTGCCACAACAACAGAGGCAAAACCAAAGCACATCCCCAGGGCCATCTTCTGCAGAGCCGAGGGAAGCAGCTTGCACCTCAGCAGCAAAGGGTCGAGCACGTGGTCCTTCACGGGCACCAGGATCAGCACCACCACCACGTTGGCCAGGAGGAGCCAGGCTTCCGGGATCTGGGCGAGAGGGAGCCGAGAGAGGCAGGCTAGCAGGGCGCCAGGAGGCACACTCTTCAGCTGTGTAACTGGGGCAGGGGATGGGGTCACGAGTGGCAAATAGGTTTCTCTAACTTCCATCCACTGGCGGTGGCTGCCTGGAACACTTGTGGGCTCAGTACAAAGGATGCCGTGACTGATGGTGATGTCGGCCGTGGGCCACAAAGGGTGGTGGAGTGGCCCACGTGCCATTCATCCCCCAGCTCTAAGGATCTTTGATTTTGTGAGTCTCTGAAATGCCAAGGAACTGCTTTGGAAAGTCCTGATGGAAGGCACAGGTGTCGGAGAAGCACAGGACAAGGCAGAGTCAGGGAGGGTGCCCCTGACCTGGAGGCCCGGGGCCAACTGGGCAGCAGGAGCAGCAGTGGGCGGGCGGGCGGGGGGGGGGGGGGGACGCTGGCCTGAATTCCTCCGAGCAGCTGAGCATCTCAGCGGGGTGGCTGGGCCGAGGCACCAGTCCGCCCACCCCCCAGGTGCCTTTCCTTTGCCCCGGGGACACCGGGCCATTAGGCGAGGAGAATGCAGAGGCAGCTTCATCTCCGCCTCTTCTAGGAGGAAGCCCCCAGCCTGGCGTGAACTGGGGGCTGAACACACCAGTTACCTCTCACCTTATAGCCACTGTTCTGGGCTCCCAGAGCCACTGAGCTGTTGCCAGGATGACCTGGGAAAATGTTTGGGATGTGGAGGTGAAGGCCTTGTAGGACGTACGTGGATTGCATCTGCCCAGAGAGAGAGAGATGGAGGTGAAGCTGGAATAGAGCCAGCCGCCTCGCCTGCAGCCCCAGGACGCCCCAGCTGCCAGGCAGGCATTCCTCAGCAGTAGCACAGGGCAGCTGGGCAGCTGTCCCCTCCCCATCCTCAGGGGGAAAGTGACCGCCACGCCCTCCTTGTTCCTCGGAAGCAGACTTGGCTGGAGAGCTTCCTTCCCTCCGCTCCCAGGCCGTGAGCTGTGTGGGCGACTTTATTCCAGAGCTGGGCACAGCTGGTCGGACTCATGCCATGTCTCCAGGGCCTGGCCCGGAGCAGGCGTGGATAAATGCTTGTTGACATGGGGAAAATAATGACATGGCTGTCCCCACGGGAAGTGCTCATCTGACACTGAGGCCAGGCTGAGTC